CTCTAACCAAAGCCCTTCTCCATCAGTTGCTCAGTTTGGCCAGCTCTAGGAAGAGTCCTGGTTGTTTCAAACTTCTTCCATTAAGGGTAACAGAGACTACATGCTTCTGTGAACCTTCAATGAAGCAGAATTTTTTTCTGAACTCCTCCTCAGATGTGTGGCTTGACGCAATCCTGTCTCCGAGCTCTACAGGCACTTTTGACCTCAGGGCTTGGTTTTTGCTCTGATATGCATTATCAGCTGTTAGACCTTTTATTAAGATGTGTGTGCCTTTCCAGATCATATCCATTCAATTGAATTTGCCACAGGTTAACTTCACTCGAAGTGTAGTGACATCTACAAGCAATTTGAATGCTCCTGAGCTAAATTTGAACTGTCCCAGATATACTTATGAATACTTACGCAATGGAATAATTTAAGTTTTTTATTTTTAATAAATTTGCGAAGATGTGAAAAACCAGTTTTTTGCTCTACCATTATGGTGTATGGAGTGTAGATTGATGTGGAAAAAAAGTAATTTAAAGCAGTTTAGCATAAGGCAGCAATATAACAAAACGTGAAAAAAAATTAAGGGGTATGAATACTTTCGCAAGGCACTGTAGATGGGCTGTAGAAAATTGTCTTTGCTGAAAGACTAAGGTCATTCATTCAGAGTATTCACAAAAAACTTTAATTGAACTAACATTTCAGGAAAAAAGTGATTTTTTTTCCTCTAATACATGTGTATCACAGTTACTCGCATCTCCAGAGAATATCATGAGTAAAAAAAATAACAAGTATATTCCCATTCATACTTGTGCAATGGAAAATGACTGTTGGTAAACGTGACTTTCTGTTTCATTGGGCTGTAATTCTCAGGTGACACAAGTACAACATTTCTATTGTCTATGGGAAAGACCTGAGAATACAGTAATGATGTGCAAGTTGATGAGCTACTAAAAGGTCAACTAAAGGTTGATGAGCTGAACATATCAGAAAATGGCTATAAGATAACAGCTCAACAGTCAAAATGACCATTTCCTCCATTCAGGTTAATAATTAAAATGTGGAAATGGAGATTTTAATGACTGGTCTGGAAGAGCTACTACATGTCTATAGTGGCCCAACAATAAGGATGATTGGCCCAAGAATTTTCAACAATCATAGTTTGAACTGCAGATGTTGCGTCTTGATCTTTTCCAGTGGACATGTCACGGACTGTGTGGCAGCACAGAGTAGAGCTACTCAACACTGCAAAGATGTGTATGAGGATGATACCTTGAGGTGTGTGGCTCGTTTGAAAGCTTTATTGCAGACACGGCACACATGGCAGCGGTCCTTTCCATGAGCCTGTCTGCAGTGTCTTCTGAGAGCATTTGCTGTCAGCAGCACCTGACTGCAGTAGTAACACTGGTGCTTTTGCTGTATCTCTGCTTCCTTCACCTCCGTCTGGTTATCTATGATCTGTGTGCATAAATGAAATGCACATCGCAGCTAAAATATAAGTAATAAATGACAGACTGTCTCACAATAAACAGCTGAGAAATGTAGACATCAGCTTCACTTGAATAAACATTGTACAAGATATTTTATTTTTGATGATTTTAAAACCCATGAATGACATTCTGATATTTCATATTTTAAGTTTATTTATATAGCGCTTTTCACAATACACATTGCTTTAAATCAGCTTTAGAGATTGGATTATTATATTGTGATACGTGTGATTACTAATAGAAAATCACAGTTTTTCGGGTTGGAAAGAGACTTTGAGTACAGCTTTCTAGGGCAAGAAATCACCCACGATTCATAGCAACTGAGCAGGGATTCCAAAAATTTGATTTTGAGTTATTTCTCTGATAGAGAATAACATGGCAATTGCTCCTGATAATCTGTTAAAAGCATTTATCACTTGTGTGCATTTACCTGTGTGTTCAGGTTGAGAGAAACCGTATCCAGTATCTGTGTGTCCGCTAGAGTCAGAGTCACGCTGCCATCGCTGGCCATGCCCGCTGTTGACATTACCAGGCTCTGAGCTGACATGCCTGTCTGGGATAGGGAGGTGCTGGGTGCCAGTGCATTGACTGATGGGAAGATTTAATCAGAGACACAACTAAACAGTTGGATCAAGAAAATATGGACATACGTCATTCTAAACATCCTCACTGAGAACTATTCTCAATTCAATCCAGTCAATTTTCTCCTATGGACAATTTCCAGGTCAACTACTGTCATGGCGGAGACATGCTTGGGTAAGTTAGTCACAAAACTGGCAAAATGAATGCAGATACTTATTCATTAAACATTCGGCTTTATGGCACATGCATCTATTCAAACCCTTAACTGAGCTTTCTATTATCATCACAGAAATACACTGTCTGTAACAGAAAGTGCACACAATAATCATGTACCACCACATGCTGTCTAGTTTGTCTACTTGCGTAGTTAGTAAGATTTCCTGCAGTAAAGTAGATAGAACATGCAATTAACAGCCTATTCACAATTGAGAAAGTATAGAACTACTGTATATCTATATATGTCTGCAGTCAAACCATTAGCTTTTATAGGGTACAACAGGGCTTAAGGCGCCCCTTAAGAAAAATCTGCTTTGTGTTTCTTTTTTTACCGCTTCCATAGCGTATGCTTGAAGAAAAAAATCTATATCTTTTATTTAACTGTGACAGAAAAGAAATAAAAAGCAGTCTGATTTATTTAAAAATGACAAATGTATATAAGGGGTGAGGGAGGTCTTTTACTTCACACTTGGGGTAAAAGCTCACCAGCATATGGCAAAATACCCTCAGTAATATCTATCAGTAATTTTTTTAAAAATAATTTCTAAATGAATACTTGTTCAAAACAATCACCTAAGCACAGTTTGTACCATATTCTGTTTTGAAAAATAAAATAATTGAAATTTGTTCAACCATTTTAAATTAATGTATTTAAAAAACAGATTCTGAAAGCTTCTTACACTGATTAAAGGACATCCCCAAATAATTTCATTTGGCTTTACAGTAGTAATGATACCTATATTTTATGATAATGATGAATATGTTTAAATGGTCTCATTATACAGAAGGTGATCATCTCTAAGATAGACACCCACCTTAATAAATGATATTGACCATTTGAGTCAAACCATGTCATGTCAACAAATGAAAAAGTCAGCCAGCTATTTATTATAATAACAAATTGTACATTTCTACATTCAAAGTGAAACACAGAAGTTTAAGTGCTGCAGGGATTTTTTGTGCCATCTAGTGGTTTAGAGAAGAATAAAATCAAATGCACCTTTTACCCCATGAACCTTTAGCCCAACTGTACCATAAACAGAAAACGTACACGAACACATTACTCTACATCAGGGGTCTTCCACTAAAATTGCTTGAGGTCCAGTAATGAACCCTCCTCACCAGCCAAGGTCTAAAAACATGAATTGATGGTTTTTGCCAGGCCAGGGTATCTACAGGATATTTAAGCTCAAATTTGAGACTTTTTAAGAAAAAACAAAAAGTTTTATAAAATGATAAACGTAACATTTCAGCCTTTAAAACATTTCTTTTTACGAAAATGGAGTCGAAAGTATCAATTATTTTATTAATTGAAACAATTATTACCGCCAACTTTCCTACTTTTTCAGAATGCCATTGTTTTTCACTCACTGACATTTCATCTGTCTGCGCATCGCTTTCTGCTCTCTTCACTGCACGCACAACCGCATGTCTGAACGTAGCAACTAGCAAGAGTTAACTGTAGTAGCAACCCGTGGGCTGACTGCTCTGAGCTGACCTTGATGTGCTTGAAATAAATTTGGTTTTATTAGAAAACAGCATTTGGCAAAAGGCTTAGGGGTCCGGATGGAAGCATCTCATGTTACAGATTCGGACTGGAGTCCACCAGTTGGCGACCCCTGCTCTACATGTCAGATCCTCAAAACTATGTTTTATTTTTTTTTAATTATTATTCAGCTCTCACCAGTCATAGCTGAGGGAGGAGGACTCTGAGGAAGGAGCTGCTCATTGCTTATCGTCAGACTGCTGCTGCCTGAAGCAAGTCTGATCTCAGTGTTCATAGTTGGAGTAGAGGTTGGACAGTGCTGGGGTAACAGGTCCTGACCTTTAAACACAGTCAAAGAACAGATAAATGAAGAGATTAGCGTTTGCTTTGACATGGCTATTCCAAAACACCAGAAAAAAAAAGAAAAAAAAAAATATACCACCGTTTGCGTATGAAAATTCTTTTTACTCCTAAGCAACGATCAAAAAAGAATTTCACCGAAAGTATATCTGGGCCTTTAGAATCCCAACTTCAGAAACAAGCAATCAAATGAAGTTAATTTTAACAGAATCTTTGCTCATTTGAGTTTGATCTTAACCGGACACTATTTTAATAATTACTGCAAATTTCATAATGCAGAGAAAATCCAGCAAACATTTATTCACTATTGCACGTAGGTTAAATTAATTAATTAATCTACACAGATGAACAAGTTAATTTGAAATCTTTTTCTCTGATCTTTCGTTCTCTCTCGTTTAGTGTGTATGTACTACAAACACATTCTTGCATATTTCTAAACTTGGACTGCTGGGTGAAGGCTAATTAAATGAGTTACCTATAAATGGAATACCTATAAATGGTATTACTAAATATTTAAAAAAAAAAATTTTTAGTGGCAGGATCTGTCCTTGAATATAGTTTATTTCATGTTTTGCAACATGAAGGCTTACATTCAAATTGTTAAATTAACTTAAATGAACAAATTCAAGTAGTCCATAATGATTAAAATATATACATTATAACATACATATTATAAATGTAACTTATTCCTGTGATGGCAAAACTGAATTTTCACTGATCTTTCAGAAATTATTCTATTATGCTTATTTATTATCAATTATTATTATCGGTCCTCAATTATTAACAATGGTTTTTATTATCATCAATGATGAAAACAGTTTTTCCTGCTTAGTATTTTTGTGGAAATCATTATCCTTTTTTTCAGAATTCTTTACTGAATACAAAGTTCAAAAGAACTGCATTTCTTTGAAACAGAAATCTTTTGTAGCATTATAAATGTCTCGACTTTCACTTTTGATCAATTTAATGTGTCCTTGCTGAATTAATGCATACATTTCTTTAAAAAAACTTGAATGTAAGTGTATCACTAAAATATTAAGCAGATATTAAACAGAAAACAATAGTTTTCCTCATGGTTCTTGAGCACTAAATCAGCATATTAGAATGATTTCTGAAGGATCATGTGACACTGAAGACTGGAGTAGTGATGCTGGAAATTCAGCTTTGCATCACAGGAATTTTCTTCATTTAAATTTTTTGTAACAATATTTCAGTTTTTACTGTATTTTTGATTTTAAAAAAAAACACTAAGCTGAGAACGCAATAAAGGAGGTCACCTCCATAAAAAACGGTTGTCACCTTTGGAGCATTTTTACAACTTCAAAAAGTATCTTCCTAAAAAAACAACTTATTTATGATTTAGCACATAACTGCATCAAAATTGCAAGTGGAAAAAATAGTGTGTAATGCAGTGTCACCTTTGGGGTTGGTTTATTGGGGTGTTTAACCTGAGCAGTATAATCAACAGAAAGTGCAGCAGTGTGTCTATAGTTTGCAAGGTTGTGTGTGAGTACCTGCTATAGTGAGTGTGATCTCTGATGTACTGGAGACAGGTGTAGACACAGTAGCACTGGTCTGTACTAAAGCTTGTGTCAGACTGGAATTATTAATAGTCAGTGTGATTTCTGGAGCACCGTTGCCACCGCTTACAAGACCTGCAGCATTAGACACTTGTGACAGCTCCTGAGAACCTGACAAGACAAACATATTAATACAAGACATAAGTTACATCTGGCCAAAGAACTCTGACCCGGATTTAACAATTGACATTTATCAGCATTTAAGTTGTAAAGTCAGAGTTAGCTCTCAGGTTGGTGTTTTAGCACCCCAATATAAGCCTAATTTTTAGGTGAACCCTTTAAAACCAACTTTTTTGTTTTGTGAAAATGAAAATATGCACATGAACGTCAATTCATAATGTTATGAAAATATAGAAGAGTGAAATGTAAGTTGAAAGCATCTCTCACCATCTCAACTCATGGCTTATGAGCCTTTTTGAAACATTGCCTTGCCTTGCTACTTGATGAGTTTTAACTTATTTTACTGTACTGTGTCCTTTTGAGTGTTTGTAATTCCCAATTATTGTTAATGGTGAAAATACTGTATTCCAGTAAAATGACAGGAATACAATGAGATTTAAACTAATAATTAACATCTTTCACTAAAAGGAACATTAAAAAAAAA